AGCGAAAAAGGGGGGGGGGGGGGGGGGGAACAGAGAGACGTACGACATCGGCCTTGAGCTTGCCGCAGTGAAAGCAGACGCATTCGAGGATCTTCTTGACCTTGCCAAGATAGCCGATGTGAAAGACGGGCTTTGCGAGGTCGATGTGACCAAAGTGACCGGGACATTCCTGGTGACCCTCACCGCAAGTCTGGCACTTGTAATTTCTGTCGAGCGTACCGAGGCGCGGGTCGGAAAGACCGCCGATTCGAGGCTTGCCGGCCTCATCCTTGACTTCGGGCACTTCGATCTTGCACACCGAGATGGCACGCTGTGAAGGGGACAAAAAGAGGATCAGTGTGACGGGGAATGATGGCGAGACGGCGCAGCATGCATGAACGGAGAGTGGATCCGAGGATAGTCAGCGGTCTGGTCTGATCATGAGAGTATCTGGGACGCAATCGCCCGGCAAGATGATGTCGATGGGCACGAGGCCGATGACGAGCTTGACGATGGGCGGAGAGCGTTCTAGATACCTACAATCTCTTCGGGACTCAGGATGCCGAACTGCACCTCGCGCACGGGGCGGATGGGTGCAGTGGAGTGAGCGAAAGATTGACCGGCCTGGGCACTCATGGTGAATCAGGAGCGTAGTTGCCAATACGGAGGCGAAGAACGAAGTGGTGGAGAGAGACGAGCGGATCGGGGCCGAGTTGATTTGGATGGGAAGCGAACGGGTCCGAACGAGGCGTGGCGGGGCGATGCAGTGCGAGACTGGTAAAACCGAGTGGCGATGTCCACTGGGAGTGTCGGGAGCGAATCAGATGGAGAGCATGTATGTGTTTGTGGCGGATTGAAGGGATGCAGGCGAATGGGGATGGGCTGGGCAGAGTGCAGCTACTCGGAGCGAGAGCAAGATTCTGACCGAATGCAAATCAGTGCGTGTGGTGGTGCGACGCAATCCGGGGTGGCCGTGGCTGGCTTTTTTTGTGGGATGAATGATGGATGCAAATGCGGAACTGTGCCCAATGGAGCGGCTGACGAGGCGAAGAAACGAGCGAGGGCAGCGGTCGGCTCTCAAGACGGATTGAGAGGGACGCTTTTTGTGAAGTGCCGAATGTCGAATGCTGTGATGCCAATGCAGCAGCAGACGTGAGGCGAGGAGGTGAGATGAGGTTTGAGGGAGGTGATGGCGGGTGAGGGTGACGGATGGGAGGGTCGAGATGGTGGCGAGGAGGTGGTGATGACGAGCAGCGACGACGGCTGGAAAAGCAGGCAGGAATTCCAGAAGGCGGGCGACGCTCAGCCATCGGCGCGCCCTGGCTAACCCTCCTCGGCCACAGACAGCGAGGGCGGAGCAGCTGCAGTGAAAACGCGCCTCTGCCCTCGCGCCCCGTGCTGGGCTGCCTGCTGGGCTGCCTGCTGAGCCCTGCTGGCTGCGCTGCAGTCGTGTGTCGAGTGCGCAGCGGCGCGCTGGGCGCCTTGCCCCAATGAAATTGCTCGCCTCGCGCCTCTCCCCATCTCGCGCCCCCGCCGCCTCCTCCGCGAGGATATCTGGCAATTTTGCAATTCCAACTCTTTGTGATCGAACATGCGTGGGTATTTGGAAGTGTCTGAATTGTCGACCTAACATGATAAAGTCTGGCCCAAAAAAGTGGAGTCGGGGCTCGGCTGATAAAGGGGCGTTGCTGCTGTGATGAGGCCCAAAGTGGCCTGGGCGCGCGCGCCGATGCGAAAGCTGAGTTGCGGCGTCGCTGCGTCAGAGCACAGCTTCGGCCACCCCGCGCCCCGCCACGCCGCGTTTCGAGACACACACCTCGAGCGAGCGCTGCTGAGCCGATTAAGCGAGCAACTCCACCCCTCCGACATCCATCTGCTATCCTTCCCTCTCCGCAACATCACATCGCCCATCTCGATCCGCACATCCACCGAACGGCTCTCGAAAACACTCGTCGCCACATCATCCTATCGCTGCTGCTGCTGCTGCCGCTGCCGCCGCCGCCCCGTGCAACTGGCGCGCGAGTCGACGCTCTACGCTGATCCTCATCACAAAGCCCCTTGCTGCCCATCATGTCGGCACTCTGGTCCGGCTGGGGCGCCGATGCCTTTACAGAGCAGGTCGAAAAGGCCACCTCCGAGCTGCTCCCCGTCGGCTCCGAAGACATCGCGCTCAACCTCGACATCTGCGACCAGGTCCGCGCGAAGCAGGTGCCCGCAAAGCAAGCCATGCAGGTGCTCAAGCGTCGCATCAGCCACAAGAACCCAAACGTCGTCCTTCTCGCCTTGGGTCTTACCGACATCTGCATCAAGAATGGCGGTGACCACTTTCTCCAGGAAGTCGCATCGCGCGAATTCATGGACAACCTCGTCTCCGTCCTTCGCAACCCCGCCGGCGTCAACAACGACGTCAAGGCAAAGGCGCTCGGCCTCATCCAGAACTGGTCCCAGATCGCACAGGCAAAGCCCGCTCAGATGGCCTACATCATCGACATTTACAGGCAGCTCAAGTCAGACTCTGCCTTTGATTTTCCTCCGCTCGATCCAAACGCAGTCGCATCTGCTGCGCTCGTAGAGACGCTCACCGCGCCCGAATGGGTCGACGGCGACGTATGCATGCGCTGCAGAACCGCCTTCACCACCTTCAACCGCAAGCACCACTGTCGCAACTGCGGCAACGTCTTTTGCCAGCAGTGCTCCAGCCACAACATGGCGCTCCCTTGGTTCGGCATCGGCCAGGACGTACGCGTCTGCGACGGATGCTTTGCCCGCAAGGGCCCACCCAAAAACGCCGCAAAGCTCTCGCGATCCAAGAGCGCCGGTTCCAGCTCCACATACGTGCCGTCGGGTCGCGGCGGCTCGGCATCTCACCATCGCTCCGCCACCCTCAGCGGTCAGACCGGTCAGTCGAAGCGCAGCGCACGCAAAAAGGAGGAAGACGACCTCGCTCTCGCCATCAAACTCTCGCTCCAAGCTTCCGGTCAAAGCGCTCCGCAGTCATCGCGCCCCGAAGCTCCCAGCAATCCACAAAAGGCACCCAACGGTCGCGTACTCGAAGGAACCGACGCCGACGACGATCCCGACCTCGCCGCCGCCATCGCCGCCAGTCTTCGCGACTGGGCTCCACCTCAGCCCAGCGCACCCGACGGTCTCAACGAAGCTTCAGCACCCGCAGCCAGCACCGCCCACGCATCCGAGCCGTTGCGCTCCGACCTGCCCCTGCCGCCCTCGCTCGATCTGGCGCCTCAGGATGTGGACAACATCCTCACCTTTTCCCAATCCGTACAGGCGCACCACCACCAAAATCAGCGCTCCGGCATGATGGGCGCTCCCGTACCACACCAGGTGCAGTCGCTGTACGAAAAGGCCTCGGCCGCACGCCCAAGAATGGCGCGCAACCTCGAGGAGGGTCACCGCCGTCACAATGTGCTCGTCTCCATGCACGACAAACTTACAGAGGCAGTCCGTCTGTACGACCGACTTCTCGACGCACAGATGTACCGACCCGCCCAGTCCTACGCGCCCAACGCGCCTAGCCACGCACCTTATGCTGCCCCCGCCCAGCACTATGCTTACGACCAGCATGCACCCAGCCACGAAGCCGTGCCTGGCTACGCACCCATGCATCCCGGAGCCGCATCTCTGTATCCGCACGCTCCACAAGCCGCACACGCGCCTCAGGCTTACCCGGGCGCCTCGCATCCGGAATACGCGCAGGCGCCCACCCAATGGCAGCCTCACCACGACCAGCCCATGTATTCGCAGCAGCAGCAGCCCTACCCCACGCAGCCGGCTCAGTCGCAGTCGCAGTACCTGGCCGGTCCGTCAGCGTATCCGGCGCAGCAGCAGCAGTACGGTGCGCCCTCCCCGGCAGCAGGCTATCCCAACGCGCACTACGCCGACCCTCAGGCTACGTCGTCTGCACCGGTGGCAAGCCCGACGCAGCACGCCTCGTATGCCCATGCCGGAGGCATGCCCAACGCGCCGGCGCATCCACACGCAAGCGGCGCGCCTTACGACGCCGCGTCTCCCTACACCGAAGCGCCTGGCGCAGTGCCATCCGCGCCGGCCGCTGGACGAGGCGCACCGCTGTCTGTGCGTACCGATGGCATCTCGGGCGTTGAGGCGCCCAACGGTCCAGCGGCTGCGCCCGCCGATGCGGCCAACGCGGG